GCTGTTTATTTATGCGTACGTGTCCATATAAATTTTAAGTGTTAGAAAAGAAAAAAATGTATGCTAAACGTCCTTGAAATTCTTCTTTTATTCTTACTTTTTATTTATATATTTCGTGAATATAGTATGGTTGATTACAGTAAATATTACATTTATTATATTAAATAATTTTATAATTATATGTAAGCACTTTCGAACAGCTTAACATGTAATTATTGCAATAAAAATAATTTTATTTTCGTAAATCACATAAATATATATATATGTATAATTTGTTTGGTTATTTTTTCTTTGCTTATAAAAAGAAATATATATGTGCTGATTTAACTGACATTATGATACAACATGCAACAAAAACGCAACACAATTAGGTTACTTAGAAATATAATTAGATATATTCAAACAATATACATAATAGTCAATATCACATTATTTCGTCGTCGTCGTCTAGGTAGGTATTTTGGTTTGAAACCAGAGTTGGTCAGAAATTTGGATTTCTCTTCGCCTCGCACTCGATTGATTGATTTTCTGTTCACTGTTGGACTTACTGAAAGTATTTTAGAGGTGCTTGGTAGTGAGTGATTCTTTCTGACTTGACTTGCTACCTCAAGAAAGTAAGGAAAAACAATGAAGAGTGGACCGGTAAGATTCTTTCTGTTGTTTATCACTCGAAAGCTTAACATCTTTCAAAGGTAAACGTATAACACACCCCTGAAGGTACTTACCTAACCGGTGTGTACTTCCACTAAGAAAAATAACACGAATAAACTTGTACATATCCGGATCTTAGTTGCCTAGTAACAACTGACGCAGTATATTTTTGCCAAATTATAATAACTTATGGTACAATATGGCGAATATTTGAATAAAGTATAATGAAGTTGCACATGTATATGCCATAAACACGTGCTATAAATTTCCATTGGAAAAAATACTACTTTGCTAACGCAAGTTTGTTTTCAAACATCACCATAAACGTCATTTGGTTTACAATATGGTTCATTATCTCGTTTAGCTAGCCGTTTCTTTTCACCTTCTGTTTTCTTTTCTTAGTTGTTAATTTGGCAGGTAGTTTATTCTCTCTCAAGCTTTGATAAGAACTGCATGAAAGCTGCAGAACTAATTAGAATGCGACTAGTAAACTATATGAAGAATGATCATCACAAACTATTTTGATCAATGTGGAAACTCTAAACCTAGACAAGAACAGATCCTTTAGATGATGAGACCAGACGAAAACTGTTTTACATATACTTCTAATATCACTTTGTTACTTGTGCAAGTTTTATATTTGTGACTGTTTCCTTTCTATTAATATTTTGGAAGAAAAAAGCTAGCCTACAAATTCTTATCTCAAAACAACATATTATTAACTAAAAAATTATTAATTAAAATTACTTTATCTCCTGTAATAAGTTATGAATCAATTTTTATCTAATCTAATAAAAACATTTTTTGTAAACATTATTTTTGGATTATTTTCAATTGAAAAAAAAAAGAAGTGATTTTTTTTTACCGTATCAGCAGCAGCGAGAAAAAGATCTGTGACAATTCGCACTATTTCTTCTTGTTCTATCTTGTCTTCAAGAAGCATCTGGCTTAAAACACCCTCTACTGGCTCTCCTGTCTCGGCTTTGGAGAAGATATCTTTGACATTATCTTCTACGTATGCTTTTGCTATAATTAAAATAGTATTCTTAGAAACTGATCGGTGTGGATCCATCTAAATTAATTGAAAAGTAATCAGGTAGTTAACATTTTTGAGTATTAATTTATCATGTTTTTTTAAGCAAAGAAGTGAAAATAAAAATATTATCTATTTTAGATTAAAAGTGTTATAGACTTTTACAGTTCATCAAACACACCTAGAAGAAATAACTTCCTAGTGAATTACTGGTAAGTCTGCAAGCTGACGGCGCAAAACATCTGGTTTTGCTACCCGTGGTGAGAGAAGTATAGATCTTTGTGTAACTTTGTGCTTAACCAAAATATACTCTCTTGTTCTATGATCTGTTTGTTGTAAACCCGAGATTTTTCTATGATGTCAACCTATAAAACTTACATTTAATTTAATAGATTTTTTTAGCTCATAATACTTGTGAATTGAATACGTATTACGACAGTAATTTAGTAAATATTTGGTTTAGTATCGCCATCTGTTGACCAAAAATACCTCTATAAGCAGATTTATGGAAAATTATAAGTCAAGACAGGTCTTATGGAATGAAGGATAAAGGCATGACAAAAAATTGCTTATCTCAATTTTTTTTTTTTTCATATAGATTTGTGTTGTTTTTCTCGCAAAGTACTATTATATTTTTGCTCTACTTGTGTTTATTTTTATAGATTATTTGGTTGTGGATATTTTCATTCTGCTTCTTTTTTACAGCAGTATTCCTATGAGTTGTCCATCCATAGCCTATATATCTAATTAATTATTTAATATTCAGTCCCGAATCGAGAGAAACTAACATTTTTTTTTTTGAAGTTACTATTATTTTCAAAAAAAAGTTCAAAAGACTTACCCAACCCTAAAGCTCTGTCAGCTGCTTGAACGAACCTCCGCCACACGGGTAACTTAAGCCAGTATGCAAGCCGAGGTGGGATCATTGTCATATGAGCAGATTCCGTAAAGATTTGCTGAACACAGTGCACGAATTCGTGGATATTCCCGATTTTACTGTCAGACGTCACACATCCCAAACGCCGTCCAAATATCATCGTTCCTAGAGCTGAAATAAACGATAATAATAAAATGCTCTGCTATACATTTGTTCCATGTTCAAATACTGGTAAGAAATAATATAAAGGAGCTTGTCCTTAACTTTGTTGAAACGATGCTCGCACATAAGTAAAGTTATCCAGAGACAAATTTCGCACACCTTAGATAAATTTGACAATAGATGTTTCGAAGTCTAAAGAAATATTTGAAATGTTCAAAGTTTAGATAAATTATTTACTATAAGAATTTCATCTTTTTTTTTTTTCAGAATGTAATGCATTATCGTCCCCAGTTACAAAATAAAAAATCTGGGAAAAAAAAAATCCCCTGAGAAACAGTACTTTTGGCATAACAAATCTGTATTGCAATGAAGTTCTCTGACGTACTACAGGGGCAAAATGTTTATTTGGAAGGATAAAAAAGAAAATAGAGGATTAGTGTACAAACATGAATATAAGAAATTTGTAACTTTCAGATTTATCTTATATTAATGTCTAAAGTAGCTGTAATAGATTATTAAGTCCAATATATTAAACTTTAATGAACCAGTTTTGAAATTGCATGTTTCCCAATTCTACAAAAAAAAATGTGTAATACGAAATACATAAGTTATGGTTACCTTTATTTATTCTTAGCTTACAATCTTTTGATTTCTCCTAACTTGCTAATCTTTTTCACGGAAATGTGTTTGTTGTTGGGTGAATTGAAACGATTTTGGAGCCTCACTACGTCGTTACAGCCTATGTCACCACTTCCGGTCATGTTCTTCCTGACGATCGTGGTTCTTGAAAACAGCCCTGCAGCGTAGTTTCCATTGAAAAGGGCCATGTAGTAAGGCTGTCATGCCCAAATCAGACAAATGAATAGCATAAATACCCATTTCACTCTCAAGCTGCTTGAGGCATACGACGGTTGGATGGATATATCGTAGAAGCAATTTGTACCTGAGACATGTGAACGGCTTTAGCTACTGATTTTTCAGTTCATGGATTCTTACCTGTTACAAAACGCCGCACTTCTTACCCTGGTTGGGTACGACTTGTTTCAGATTTCTTTCTAGATGGTTCTGGTACCTCAAGTTGATCTATATTCCATTGTTTTTCAGTGGCACTTAATACAATGGATATCCCCCCTCTTGAAAAGTCCAAATTCTTGGCCTGAATACATTACTTATGATATGGTTTTATGAATACTTTAAGTCATCGGAAAGGGTTGTTACATACCCTTTTCAACACCGATTAATTTTTAGTAGCATTGCGATACCTACTTGACGCCAGTAAAATGTAGTTCTGATACATATCATTCCTTCGCGACTTTATATTGACTATGGTTGTCATGCAAATTGGTGATTTGCATATTCAAAATAGTTTTAATATAACGTACTCAACCCTTTGTATAAGAAAGTGTAAATCTCTATCACCCAACAAAATAGAAATGATATATATGTATATTCTATCATGATTACAAACAAGGAACTCAAGTTTATTCAAACATTATTATGACATCTAATTTATAATATAACCTAATAGGACTTTAGTCTTATAAAATACGAGTGGGCTTCTCTGATTCATCTCAATAGAGGAATTGTTCCTTCACTGCATGTAATTGTGATATCAGACATACGAGCAACCAATCAAGCTCAATTTAACCAATAAACTATGATTTGGTAGCGTATTTTGATCGTTTAATTACATGTTGCAGTGTTAACTTCCTTATAGTTTAACTAACTTATTTGGCTTCAATTACACAGCCTGGCGATGGTTTTATTGTCTTGAAATGTTTACATGTTCTACAGTAATTCCTGTACACTGAATCCGAAAATGTTATCCATTTTTCTCCATCACATACAGATTTTTCACAAAACGTCATAACGCAATACATAAAAGACCACAACACGTAGTTTGAGAATAAAAGACGTAGATTTCACAAAAAAAAATCAGGATGAATGAGTATGCATATTCGTTTGATATCAATATTCTTCCCTTTTTCAATGTGAATTATGGTGAACGAAATAATAATTTGATCTAAGTAAGAGTTTTTTCTCCTTCCCGATTTGTAACAAATCGTTACGTGATAGAAAAAAAATGAATATTATTTTCGAAATTTGCGAAGCTGAATTATGGAAAATCAGTTATTAATACCAAAACAAACTTTTATGAAGTTTAAATTCGCAGACCTGTGTTATTATATGACCAATGGCATATTCTAACAATATATAATTATATTGATACATTACTGTATTATATAGATAACATACCTTAAACATCCATGACCTGCTTACGAAAGTAAAATACCATTTGGCCTCAACAACTGTTAAAGATTTAAAGAGCGCAGAAATGTATCAGCATAGGAAAACCTCGTAAACCCGTTGATCTGTCTGACTTTGTGAGTCACATTAACAAACATTCTAAATTATGTAACAAAAAGACTGAAACAATGATGCATCAAAATGCGTAAACACATAAAGTTATATGCACAAGTGAAATCAAGTTAAGGAAACGATTTTACGTAAACAGTCAATTAAATAGACAGATCTTACTGTATTGTATGAAAGACTTATGATATGGAGAGAGCATTCTGAATCAGTGTAGCTTTTTTATAATACAAAATACTCTGTATCAAAAAATCACGTTTTTAGTAAAAGGCGTAAATAAAATGTTAAAACCTTATAAGAATGCTTAAACATGCGAGTTTCAAATTTGTAAGGTCAAAACTAATTCATATTGCAGTTGTAAACAATTGAAACGAGCTAGACATTTAAACAATTGCTTATAAAAGACTTTCCGCTTAGCCAATGTCGCTTTACTTTGCGTAAAAACAAACAATGTGTAAGTTAACGATCAAAAACCTTGTAATTAATTCGTGGGAAGATCAAAACGCCCTAAATGTTCACTCCACCAACATCTGCAATAAAAACTTGTTTAATATTCTATCCAACAGGTGCTTATTTCTTATTTTATTTTTATTTTAGTGCTGATACGTAATAGTTAGCCATGTACAAACAAGAATATTTTCAAACCTAATATAACACCATCACTTTTATGTTTAGCTTCTGTACAACTACAATGTTTCATATAAGATTATCTATCGATTTATTATTTCTGCTTTTGCATTATTTTAAACCCAGAAGTAAAAGGAGCTAACTACCATAGACAAAAAAGACAAAATGCTAGCTATACTTACAATCAATGGACCAATTGTAAAGTTCTCTCTCTAAATTTTCTAATTCCATATCTTCACCCCGTACCTTCCGCCACCTGTCAAGCAGGTCGTTGATAACCTCATTAAATACCCTGGCGTGATCTGAGACACTTTGTTGGCGGAACACTTTGTTGAGACTCTTACGCCTTTCACTCCATTGAGGGCCATCCCTGGTTTTATAGAAACATTTATATAACAGTCCATGAGTTAGTATCTGTTAATTAGCTCTAACTAGATATTATTCACATTGATATAGAACATTCTTAGATTCTTAGTTTAACTTAAAATGTCAGATTTAAATGACGTTTCTAAAGAAATGGGCATATAATAGTAAATACGTATAAATTATATAAATCCAAAAGATAATAAGGACATTAAACTAAAGCATCGGTTGAGGATCCATGATTTCATGAAATTTAGTCCAAATACAACACTTACTATCAAAAGATGTATAACGTTTAGTTACGTATATTTATTAGATATTTTACTTACACTTCTTACTATGACATTAATAAGTGACAGATGTATTACACCTTATATTTAACTTTTATGTATTACCCGCGTTTGAGATAATCACCAATATATTCAATATAGTTACATATCATTTCCGGCAATCGTAACTTAGTATCTCTAAAGAAGTTAGTAATGTACACTTACATGAAGAATAGTCCACGCCGAATGCCGTTAATTTCGTTGTAAATCAGCCAGGGCTCGGGGACTAGGTGCATGGGATAGCGCCCCTCATTTTGATAAACCCTCTGAATCAACTCACCCTCTGCAACAAACACGGCTTCAACGGCACCCAATTTCTCGCGATAGATACTGCCTAACTCCTTATGTCGTTTATCACAGTATTCGTGGATCTTAGGAGCGCCTCCACTACAGAGAAGGTCAAACATTGTCCCAACCAAAGGTAGACCTTTGGGTGATGGAATATGCTCGTAAGGTTTGCCCGAGGTGACGCTGTTAAGGAATGGCGCCTTTGCAGGACAGGGTGCCATAGCACCGGGGCTGCTATTACGGTGATGAAACGGACACCTGGCTTCAGCTGGCTGTAGCGAAGGTGACGTCAAACTTGAATGGAAGCTTTTCTCTATGATAGTGGGACGAGAGGTGAAGCTATTTAAAACTATTCGAAACTTTTTAATAAAAAACACACACAGTCGGCGAGACCCTCTCACTGCCATATCGTGTAGCTTGCCAAAAACCGAGTGTAACTTAAAGGTGAACAGGCTCGACGCGCAACAGGTAAGGCGAGCTCTGTATCGTTGACACAATACACGACCACTCGCGACGGCTGTAAAATGCCGTCTGACAGCTTTTGGTTTGAGGTTTTATAGCAGTACCTACCACTCGAATAATCACCCCGCTCTGGATCCCCCAGGCATCACGCACTACCACCAATGCCGGTCGAGCGGAGCTGTATACAGCAAGAGCAAGTAGCAGTCTACCTGGCAGCCATGAGTAATTTACTAAAACCGCTCTGTTCTCAATGCTAACTAACTCAGCATTTTTAAAAAAACACATTTTTGTCTAAAGATATAAAATCATTATAACAATGTTATTAGATTAATTCAATTGGTAATAAATACATTTAACTTAATTAGATATGCGTTCATACAATCAGATTAAAGAGCAAACCGTCATATTTTTCGTAAAGTACCAACTTCCATTGCAGAAAGTAGACTTAAGTTCGAAAGGCGTGTGTGTGTGTAATTGTTTTAAGGCACAGTTATAAAATATTGTTTTACCAGCTAAAAGTTAAGTATATAATTCTACTGAGGAGTAAAGTTGTAAACTTTCATGTGGACATTTCATTAATTTTTTGCTACTGGTAATAATAAAAATAGACAAATCTATTTATTATATAACCACTGGGCCTAATGTGCAAGTCTTAGTGAAAACAATCAGGAAAAAAATAAGTAAATAAAAACAAGTAAGATTGTCAATTAAATAAATATCTGTGCAATTTATGGAATTGAGTATCTTCTCTGTGAATTCAATAAAATAAGTTGTTTTATGATTTATTTTGTTTCTGGCAAATCCCTTCATCGTCTCTCTCTATCTGTAGTTACTATCCTACATTGTAAAATATTGATCCAACCAATAGAATTATTTTGATAGATAAGCATGTAATGCTAAAATTATTAAAGTTGGCTAAATCAAGAATTAATGAAAAAATTAGTCATACAGATGCAATATATATATATCACTGAGTACCCTTTTAAAGAAAATCACTGAAAGAAAAATATCAATCCTATTATCTGACTAACTTGCTAGCTTATAGAAATTTCGTAGAAAACAGAACGCAAAAGGAAGGCTCAAGTATTATCAGTATTAAAATTAAAAAAAAAGATTGAAAGTCAATTGCTTTCCACTACTTTTGAGTAACATTTTTTAATGCAGCTAAACCGTGTAGTTATATAAAAGCTGATTAATTTATTAGAACTAGAAAATATATATCCGTGGCGAGCATTATGTAAGTTCATCTACCTTATCATTCAAACTTTATATATAAAAAGATTTAATACATATGTTTAATATCACATGCTTTATTGAACATGGGCATCGCTTCTCTCGTTAATTTATAGTACTTTATTTAAAATCATAAGTAAAAAATCAATATATTTATTAAAAGATCGCTTATCCTTGCAATTGAAAAGATATATCTGCTACATAACAGTCACGAAAAAATGCATCTAATAATTGAAACATTCAATTTTGTTTTCAGAGAGTGAAATTATTTACAAAATGATGACTCTTATAAACGATGTTCATACTGTGAGCCTGACGTGCAAGTAAGAGAGCGTTCAACAGTAGTTTCAAAAATATAGTGTCTAACATGGATATTTCTTAATTAGAAAAACATTTAAATCGGTAGATTACTAAGTAACCAAATACATGTTTTTAAAGTTAACAAAAATGTGATTAATTAGTCTCATGTATATTGTACAAGCGAATGCAACTGAGCAACAGTACAGCGTATAGCGAAGTTATACGTGTTGCGTTGTTAAAATCGCTTATTGTTTCTAGAGCAGTATTTCTCAGCCAGATTTTACATATGACCCCCGCGTCCGGGCTTTGGTCGTCGCAACCAAATATTATCTCTAAAAAGATGAAAAAACAGTTCGTTATAATTCATAACAAAGGTAATATGTGCACCCCTCGGACACCTCGAGGACTCAAAAAAAAATTTTGACTCAGCGCAGACAGCTCGTGACCCCCAAGAAACCTGCTTGCGAACCCATTGGGGCGGCCCACCGTTTGAGAACTACTGTTCTAGAGTTTTCGGAAACTACAGTTACTAAGTATTTTCGACATACTACATTTTCGTTTCTTTTTATTATACACCAATATTATGATTAATAATATTATAATTAGTGGATTTGGTTCAAAGCTATATCGTATATGATAAACTTGGCAATAGACGTCAAACGATATATTAAACTACAGCAAATTAATTTCTATGAAAGAAAAATATATGGTAATTATGTGCTTTTAAACAAACATATAACTGAAACAAAACCATAGCCAGAGGTCAGTGATGTATGGGGTTTTAAAAGGTCACGTTGAATAACTTATCTTTAATTTTTAACCATTATTTCACCACATACAAATGAAATCTGAGGTATTTGTTCTACAACTCCTGACGTTCCTCCATCTTGTTCTAGATTGAACGCTCTTTATATTAATGTGTTTTCAGAGAATCATTATAAAGTAGTCTTATGTCACAATATACTGTATTGAAAATGCTGTTTTCCAAACGGACTCAATAACTTTTAGCTTTCCTCTTTAGGGTATTGCTTATCATTTGTTATTGGATAGACAGACTGAATAAAATAAAATAGGCTATTATTTATTTACAAGTTTGAATCTCGAAAACAACATGTATATATATATATATATATATATATATAAATTATTTCTAAAGTCCCGCATTTCAGAGAAGGTATTTAGGGGAATGAAACACACAGCTGGACGTTAGATGTAACCAATAGTTGTTTGTGGCCAATCACAACAGAGCAAACTTGATTATTATCAACATTTGTAAGGCTGTTAAACAGAAATACTTTGTGAACGTTAGACATATAATTATTGTTACGTATTAGAATTTCGAATAGTCCGAAGCCGAGTTAACTGATAATTTAAATTTAGTAATTAAATTGTACTTTGGAATTAGTATTTAAATATATGCCGATATATTAGTCAATTTACGATATTTGCCAACAAGATTGATACACCGTTTTCGTTTTTAACACAAATACGTTTTAATATACACACAACAGTACAATTTACAATAACAGTTATTACAAATAGTTATTACAAACAAAGATTTATAGACAAAAGTTTCACAAACTTACAAACAATATAAAATCTTTCTAGATTGGAACTCCCTTGATATCTTATCGAGGGTTTACGATGAGCAAGTTAATTTCGAGTTGATGTAAGTGCGATTCGCCGGGAAGCTAGCTAGTTATATGCCTTGTGCTCTCAACCCATCTTTTAGGTTTGTGAATATGCAAGTGGCTCATCAGACCGATTCTTGATACACGATGGCGTGTGAAGTGGGGACACAGAAAGTCCATCGTTGTAGCACACATAACATTACTGTTTTCATAAACAAAAGCGATGTTATTTTTTAATCACTTTTTACAAATTTAGGATTCAAATTTCTTTAACAGTTATTCTCTCTCATTGTGCACCTAAATCTTTTTTTGCCATCTTATTCGGTGTAAAGATATCTTAGTTTGACAATGGTAAATTTGTTTACAGGAAAAGCTTCTAAGATTTTTGCTGAGAAAATCCTAACATATATAACTGAGTTTGTTTTTATGTACTGTTGATATAAATTTATGCATACAATAGTCCCATGTGATAAAATATACTGAGAATTTCAAGGAACTGATTTATTCTTTAATTTCTGCTTATAACTATTTCTAGTTTCGCCGCGTGCGCACCACTTATATTAATAGTTCAAGGGCTTGATTTGAGTGTTTTTTTTTGTGTGTGTGCAATAATTCAAATACTTTCGATGAGGGCGCTAAGAAAAAGAAGATTATTCTAACGACTGAAACGAAATGTCAGAATTGCATGAAAGTATTTCTTTACTTGAAAAAAAACGTCATCTACAATATAAACATTTTACCAAGCCTATTCAACAGTCGATGAATTCTTTCTCAGGCTTCATGAAGAAGAAAAGCAGATAACTGAATACACTATGCAAGCGTTGGCGTATTTTATCAAATAGGTACAAGTAAACATCTCGGAGAAAAACGTAAAGCTAACATTTATGGAAATAGCATCAATTCTGGTGGTCCATCGCTTGCGATGATGACATGTTATATGCCTTGTGCTCTCAACCCATCTTTTAGGTTTGTGAATATACAAGTGGCTCATCAGACCGATTCTTGATACACGATGGCGTGTGGAGTGGGGACACAGAAAGTCCATCGTTGTAGCACTTGTCACTGTTCTGTTTCGTCTGTCTTCCTCGAAGAATTTGAAGGTCATTATGGTCAAAGTGCGCCAGTAGGATCTGTTTTGGGTCGACTGCTCTAGAGGGCGGAGTACAATCTTGAACTTGCACCACTGAAGGCTTTGCTCGATACCGTCTTTGAATCTCTTCCTTGTCCTATCTCTCCACACAAGAAATGACCGGTGGTTGGACATTCTGATAACATGACCAGTCCAGCTAAATCGAGCTTTCAAGAATGTTGCTTCGATACTATCGAGAATTTCATTGTTTGTTACTTTGTCTGTGCGGGTGCCCATGATTAATCGGATGTAGCGCATGTGGAAGTACTCCAGTTTCTTGAGATGTCTTCGGCATGAGTTCATGTTTCACAGCCGTACAGCTTTGTATACCTTGAGCTTGGTAGACAAGGTGATGCTGCAATAGTTCAGTACTCTAGCAAGGATTCTGTCCAGGGCCTAACTAGCATTGTGAATTTTGGGTGAAATTTCATTGTCTGGTAAACCACCATTGGAAATATGCTTCCAA